ATTTTTATGTAGTTTTCTTTCTTCTTAATTTTAAAAATAAAATGTCAAGTACTTCATATTTTTCTTTAGAAAGATACTTTTTTAATGCTTTTGCTCTTTAAGTATTTTAAACTGCTCTAATTCTATCTCTTCCTTGAATTTCAAGAAGGTTAAATTCTTAATTCTCTCTTAGATATTTAGACTTTTAATTTCTAATACTCTTGTTTTCTTAGCATAGTACCTTGCTTATAGTGAATATATATGGAATAAATTATAATTTATAAATGACTTCTACCATAATGAATAGAAAGCACAATTTAAGTGTGCTTGAATTGAATCATCTACCAGTTTGATGTGCCATTTTCTCTATGTACTGTCTGTAGGTAAGACAGGCATACAAAGAGGTCAAAATGCAAGGAAGCAGGGAGTGATGGTCTTTACCATAGTAAACCATACTACACAAGATGGGTAAAATCCTAAGATAAAGGCAAAGAGACTTGTAGAATTTTAATTATGAGAATTCTAATCCTTTAAAAACTAATACTGTGTAAATTTTGATGAATTGTTTTGTTTTTCTAATATAATGCTTCTCAATGCTAGGAGTGTAGTCCAAAAAAGGACCAGAAAACTCCCGCGTCCTCGGTGGCCTCAGTTGGTGGTCCTTCAGCGAGCTCTAGCACATCGGCCCTGGCCTCTACCAGTTCTGGCTCCACGCCAGTGCAGGAGACCATCTGCCTTGATGACTCACTAGATGAAGAACTTTCCTTTCATCCACCTGCACTGGATCTTGTTTCTGAAGCTTTAGCTGTTATCAACAATGGGAACAAGGGCCCTCCAGCTGGCTCAAGGATAAGTATGCCAACTGCAAAACCTCGTCCAGGACTGAGAGAAGAAAAATTAGCAAGTATCATGAGTAAACTGCCACTGGCTACACCCAAAAAGCTAGATTCTACTCAGACTGCACATTCATCAAGTCTTATTGCTGGCCACACAGGGCCAGTACCAAAGAAACCCCAGGATTTAGCTCATACTGGCATCTCTTCAGGCCTTATTGCTGGTTCTTCAATTCAGAACCCGAAAGTTTCCTTAGAACCTTTGCCAGCCAGGCTGCTTCAGCAAGGACTACAGAGGTCAAGCCAGATTCATGCTTCTTCCTCTTCGCAGACCCACATCTCCTCCTCTTCCCAAGCCCAAGTTGCTGCCTCTTCTCATACTCTGGGAACATCAGAGGCCCAAGACGCTTCTCCGTTAACACAAGTAACAAAGGTGCACCAGCATTCAGCTGTCCAGCAGAACTATGTGTCTCCATTACAAGCGACTATTAGTAAATCACAGACCAACCCAGTGGTGAAGTTAAGTAATAATCCCCAGCTTTCCTGTTCATCCCCACTTACTAAGACTTCAGACAAGCCACTTATGTACCGCCTTCCCTTATCTACACCCCCACCTGGAAATGGTTCTCAAGGGTCCCACTCCCTGGTTTCTAGGACAGTACCTAGCACCACTACCTCCACTAACTATTTAGCCAAGGCAATGGTGTCACAAATCTCCACGCAGGGTTTCAAGTCCCCCTTCTCAATGGCTGCATCCCCAAAACTTGCCTCATCTCCAAAACCTGCCACATCTCCTAAACCCTTGCCCTCACCTAAGCCTTCTGCCTCACCCAAGCCCTCTCAGTCAGCTAAGCCTTCAGTATCAACTAAACTTATTTCTAAATCCAACCCAACTCCCAAACCTACTGTATCCCCAAATTCTTCGAGTCCAAATGCACTAGTGGCCCAGAGTAGCCACTCGAGCAGTCACAACCCAGTCCATAAACAGCCCAGTGGAATGAACATCAGCAGACAGTCTCCCACCTTGAATTTATTGCCCTTGAATCGCACTTCAGGCCTTCCGTCTACGAAAAATCTTCAGGCCCCTTCAAAGCTGACCAACTCAGCGTCCACTGGAACTGTTGGGAAGAACAGCTTGAGTGGAATTGCAGTGAATGTACCTGCCAGCAGAGGTAGCAGCCTCAACTCGAGCGGAGCGAGTAGGACTAGTCTGTCTGGGGGAGCAGGAAGTGGAACACAGGGTGCTACTAAACCGCTGTCTACTCCACACAGACCGTCCTCTGCCTCAGGGTCTTCAGCGGCGACAGCCAGTGTGCAGGTATGTATGTTAGATGCGCTCACGTGATCAAGTGCAAGGCGGTGTAACTTCTCTCAGTCAGTTTAATGGTCGTTTTATGATGTGTCAGTTGTTTATAATTTATGACTTATGGGATGTTGACATCACAGTGATGGATAATCTTGGGGACAAAATTTTTGTTGAGATGTGTTTTTTTATCACATGCTTGCTTTCAAAATTTTTCAAAATTTAAAACTGTATCTTATCAAAGTCCAGAATAGTCACTTATGATTTTAACATACCTTCGCTTGTCTCTTCTTTTCCCTGTCCTAGTCCCATTCTCCTGTCAACTTTCATAACTTTTTAAATAAAATTTATACATTCATATTATTTTTTCCTTTAACCATGTCTTTTTGAATAAAATTTTTATTTTTTATAAATTTTGCAGTTGTTCATATATAATTCTCTGTCAAATTAGTGTCAATAGTCTGTTTATACCACACTTTCCCCATTCATGAGTTTTTCATTTAAATTTCTCTCTCAGTTAGCAGGAGTACCTAATTCAAGAAATCTTTTCAAGAAGACTAATGTGAATGTTGTTTTACTTCAGCACTTATATACCTGATGATTTCTGTCACACTTGAATAGATTCAGATTTCTTAGGTCAACTAAGTGTCTCACTCGATTTTATAAATATACTGCTCCACTGACCCTTACTATTTAAAGTTATAAAAAAGTTTGAGGCCATTCTGACTTTTTGTTTCCTTATAAGTAACGTATTTTCTCTGCCTAAATGCTAATCACATTTTATCTTTTTCCTTGAAAATCAGGTGTTCCCAGATAATGGCTAGGTTTATCTAGATAATTTTCATTAATTTTGTACCTAGAAAATAATAACATCTTTCAGTCTCCGACCCACTCATTTTTTCAGCTCAAGAATATTTTATTCTGTTATGGGCCTGATTATTATTTCTGATCCATTTGCCGAGGTTTTTTGAGAGCTCTATTGCTCATGTATTTCATTTCTCTTGCCTTTCATGTCATCTTTTCTGTTATTATTTTCATCTATCTACCACTTATTTGTATTCTGAGGCTTTCTCAGATTTGTTCTTCACTTTACTCATTTGGTTTCTTTAACTTTTTTCCCCCTCCCTTGAAACATAATCCATGTTCACAGTTGGTAAAATTCAGAAAAAATTTTTGAAGAAAGAAAAGTCATGTATCGTCTCACCAGTGTTGATGTTTTCCAGATACTTTTTTTAGACTCTTCAAGAAAGTAGATTTTACATAATACTATGTTTCATAAGCTTTTTAAAAAATAGTATTTTATGGTGTTAGTTCTTAGCTTCTCAATTACTCTTTGAAAATATGACTTATTTATGAAACTCTGTTATTTAAGAAAGTGCTCTAACTTTGTACTGCCTCTTATTTATGTGGAATAGGAACATCTAATGAAGTAAGTTTCCACATGGTATCTGAGAGATTTCCTGCTGTTCAGTACAAGCTAAGTGTTGGTATTCAATGTACACTTAAAACCCAAATCATCACTCTGCCTCTACTATAGGCTTAGGAATGAATGAATTCTAAAATTCTAATATAGAACAAAATTCCATTATCTGATACTTCATTAATTGAAATCTAGGATTTATAGATGTTTTATCCATATGATTTTGCTTTTATCAGAAATANAAAAAAAAAAACCCTAGGGATCATATGTGAGAATTTAAGTTACAACTAACATCTAGGAGTTAGTCTGCATTCTTATTTTATTATCTTTGTTAAAATGTTGACTGTTTTTGAAATCAGTCTTTAATTTGATCATAGGAGTATGTGAGAGGATTATAATAACCAAAATGACAGTTCCATGGCCCATATCCTCCTTCCTGTTGTCAACTACTTTTAACTGTTAGCTTTTTCTCTTGTGTTTTTTAAAAATAAGAATGAATAGAAGTCTCTTTTAGTGTTATCTTTCAGCTTCTCATTGTGATAAATAAGGCTTTTAACTGTCTTATACTTCTCCCATTCTCTTCAGAGACTAAAATTACAACTTTTGGTTAAATCTGTGACTTTGTAAAAGATTGTCTGTGTTGAGCTAACTATTGTGAACTGTGGTATCAATCATAAATTTTGGGCTTATTTTCTGGAGTTAAAATTTGCTTTTTTTTTTTTTCTTTCACTTACTTTGTTTTCTTTAAAGTTAAATCTCCCTCTATCTTTCATCATCTCCAGAATCTATCAGTTCTGTTTTCACCCCCTCACCCCCCGGAAAACTTCCTACATTTGATCATTTATTCCAAAAGAACAATTTCGTTTATTGTTTACCAGTTAGTTTCTTATCAAGGAACCTACATGGCAAAATTTGTGTTTCTAAAATGTAACTCCTTTCTTCTGATTTCTTCCTCTCCAAAATGGCTTTATGATTTGGAGACTTTAATGTTCCTGCCTCATATCTGATCCTTTTTGTCTTTCTTATTAGTTTGACTGAAGAAAACATCAGTAATTGAATAAGATTATTCCTAACTTTTGTTCTCTTTTTTAACACATCAATGACGTCTTATCAGCTACCTTGTGGCACCTAGATCCTGTCTTTCTAAGGCTGGCCAACACGAAAAACAGATTTCCTATCTAAGTCTATAAAATATTCCACTTGCCTCTGAAAGATGTCTTTAGCTGTGTGCAGATGTGAACATGACAGGTCCTGAGGTTAATCAAAGTTAAAGTCTTTCTAGGTTCAGGTTGATCTCTACCTGCTTTTTATTTAATAACTTTGCACTGAAGGCTTTCCTGTTCTTTCTTGCCCTTCAGCTTATTGATTTTCTGTGAATCCAGTCTTTGCCACTCTATAATTTCCAAAATAATTCACTAAGCAAATATTTACTAAGTGTTTAATATGTGCCAGGCACTCTTCTAGGTGCTGGGGAAATGGGGGTGAGTCAAGATCATGCCCCCCCCCCCTCATGGGGCATATATTCTAGGACGAAGATAAGCAAAACACAGTAATTAAAAATACTTTGTGCTGTAAAAATAAAAACAATAATATGATAAAGTGTGATTGCTGCTAACATGGATAAGGGAGATGGAGAAGGCCTCTTGGAAGAGGCAGTGTTTGAGCTGATAATTGAATGACTAGGACCAAGCCTCTTGGAGAGAAGAGCAAACAGCCCAGGCAAGAAAGGGAAAGTAGATGTGAAGACACTGAGATAGGAAGGAGCCTGACAGGGCTGGACAGTTGGGAAAGAGGGGGAGGTGACAGGTCAAAAAACAACTCCAACCATGTGATCGAGGACCTCAGGGGCTACAGTAAGGACTTGGGCTTCCACTTTGTGTTCAGTGGGAAGCCGTTGGAGGGGAGTGGTATGGTCTGATACACATTTCAAAAAATCATTCTGGGTGTTGTAGAGAATGTGGGGGGTAGATGTACTCACCAACATGAAACATGTTGTTAAAAAGAAATCTAACACCCACCACAAAGAGCAAGGTGTTCCTATATATTTTCCCCTGGGGATGAAATGTAGAGGTCGTGGAAAATATTTCTGATTATGGGGCATTATCCTGAACTGTTTGCCTGGTTCATGTTGATAGCTTCTCCTGTAATGCTTCTAAATAATGCCAACAATGGATACCCTGCTTTTAAAAGGTCTCCATCTTCTGTGAGAGAAAATTATAACTGTCCATGTAACATTTAGATAATCTGGTGTTTCGTTTTAGTTTTATAAACAAAAGTGGATATGGAAGGTTTTTATAAGTATAAAATGTTAGTTACGGCCTGGTGGCATTTTTTATTGCTAATACACATAACTTAATTTTGGAAGTTGCCCTAATTTACATTTTCTGTCAGCTTTAATGTTTTAATGAGCCTACTCCAGAAAAGCATAAGAGTTCTCCTTATTAGCAGTATTTAATGTTCCTTACCAGGAGGGCTTCACTTGGGAAACATGGTTTTAGCGTGTGTTCCCCATATTGTTCTGAGATTGTAGTAGAATGTTGATGAAAAAGAAGAGAAAACTCTTGTTAACTCTTGATACTGATCCTTTTTCTCCTTCAAATTACTGTTTCTAAGTTAGTAATTTGTTCCTAAATCACCCATTTTTGACACGTGGTTGGCACAGTAGAGGTAAATGACTGGCATATAAGAAAAACAGTTAAGTCCAAGCGTAAAGTGATACAGAGTTGCACTTACTTAAATGTAGAAGGTTGTGATTAAAAAAAAAAAAAAAGATATGTTGAATATGAGTTTATCTTGTCTTTCATTTTGTGTTGCTTAAAAATTAAGATTTCAAGCCTTGAGTGGTGGGAAAGAATTGAAACTACTGATCTTAGCAGTTAACATATATGGGAGGGAAATGATTGTAACAGATGATGAGTTCAATTCTGAGCATACCAATTTGGTGAGGTTAGATATCCAATTGGAATTCTTCACTAAACCATTAGCTAACCAGGATTGAAACTGAGGTGAGAGGTCAGAACTATAGGTACAAGTTTGAGACATAAATAAAGGAGGTAAGGGAAGGCAATTGGAGAACTAGTGAAAAAACAGAATAGAAAGCTTTTTAAGGATGTTCTTCATTTTTTCATTCAGCAGTGGTGTGGACCATTGAATGTATAGATATATGAGATGATGTGGCATTTTTGCATGGGAAAATCACCTGCATTTTTCCTACAGATTAACTGAGAAATAAAATGACAAGCCCTTTATTAATAATGTCTACTGGTAGAAATCATCAGTATACAAAATAAAAGTAACAGTTGCTAATGCTTATTATTGATTAACAAATACTCAGAGAATTCAGTTTTCTTGACCAAACTTACAACTGTGAACATTTTTTACCACAGAAATTTGGAGTTGATAAAATAAGGCTATAAAAGAAAGCTCACAATTGCAGATATAGTAGGTAATATCTGATACTGAGAAATTTTGGTTATAATCTTTATTAAAAGTCGGAATGGAAAAAAATGTTTATTTGCTGTATAGAAAATTTTTCAAAGAACTAAATTAGCTTAATAGAGTATATTTCAGTAATTTCTCGATGAAAGCTTATCAGTGCTGGCATGTTCCGAAGTGTTTTTCTTCATAATGATGGCATCAGAGCCCAAGTGGGGGAGTGTCAAAGCACTCTGATTTACCTTTTGCCTTAGGAGTCTGAGCTCAGAAATGTGGTGGGATTGGAAATCAGCTTTCAGGGGTTAAGAAGAGATGAGATAGTGTGGAAGATGAAGGCTGCCATTCAATAAGTTTGATAATAAAAGAAATATTCATAAGTCAGGTTGTTGCTAGGGGTTGGGGAAGAGCCGGGAGTAATGGTTGGTTGTAAGACAGTTGGTTTTAAGACATGTTAGGGGTCTCTGTATATGCAGAAGCAGAGGAAATGCAGAGAAAGTGCAGTGCTTGACTGACATCTGTGACAGAAAGTTCTGCAAGAGTGGTATTCATGGCATAGGTCAGGTGGTTAGCTTTTGAGGAAGAGGCAGATAAAGCTTATGAAGAGGAAAACACAGATGGCCGTTAACTATGAAAGTACAGGGCATGGAGTTGAGGGATCTGAGAGAGTAATAGTCTAGAACAGAAGCTGCAGACGTTGTGCCCAGAAAGACAGCTAAACTACAGATCAGAGACTGAACTGAAATTATATGGAATTAATTCCCTGTGTCAGATGGAGAGGTCAGAGCAAAAGCGGAAGTCCAAGTTTGGAAATGAGTGTGTTAAGAGAGGAATGGGTGTTAATATAGACATTGCAGTAACAGTTAAGGAAACTTAACTGGTGATGAAGAGCTAAGTAGAAGTATTTTCAAAGCCAGTATTGGTCACTCTTTGAAATGTAATTTACATTTCAGCCTTCATTTCTGTCTCCCAGAGTTTCTGTTACAGTAGACGTAAGACACAGTCTCACGTCCATGAGGATATTAAGTAAAATAAATCAATTCAGGTTAAAGACTTGATTTCTTATGTATTTTGACCCCTGGTTTCCGCAGTCCACAGCAGGAGCATCATTATTGGCTAATGCCTCACCTCTGACTCTCATGACATCACCTTTGTCTGTAACAAATCAAAATGTGACTCCTTTTGGGATGCTGGGTGGCCTTGTTCCAGTGACCATGCCCTTCCAGTTTCCCTTGGAGCTACTTGGCTTTGGAACGGACACAGCTGGAGTGACAACCACCTCGGGATCTACCTCAGCCGCTTTCCACCATAGCCTAACTCAGAGTAAGTGGGGCTCTTTTTCTTACATGGCTACCTAATCTTGACAGAACAGGAAACCTCACAAATTTATACTAATTGAGAGCAGTCCAGTTGGAGTTAGTGGAGATTATAGAATTTCTTTTTAAAAGAAATCCAGTTTATTTAATGTGTATATATAAAATTAGTAATTACTGGACTCTGAAATTTTTTTATAGTTTCTAAAGTTAACTGGCTATTCCACACTTTTATCTTAATGAAATTTATAGTAAGAGAAAGTCAGATTTCTTGGGTTATTTGCATGCACATTTATATTTATACACGTAATGTTTAAAAAAACCTTTGAAGTCGAGGTCTCTGCTTGCATTGGATAAATTATTTTCATTTTTGTATCTAAGAGGGCTCAGATCTTAGTTTGAAGAAGATCACTGACAAGTGTGTTCTCCCCCCAGATTTACTAAAGGGTTTACAGCCAGGAGCTCAGCACGCAGCAGCGCTTTCCCACTCACCTCTGCCTGCACATGTACAGCAAACGTTTAATGGTAAGAGAGCCCCTGTTTCTTCCTCTATCTAACATTTATACAGATTTACCAATATATTAGATCTTTCCTGAAAACAATACGAGAGAATGACAAAGACTGGAAAAGGTAATTTTCATATGAGCAAATGCTCATCGGCAACAAATGCCTTTTCAGAGAAAGGAAACAGGTAAAGGAGATCTTTTGTTACATGTGCAGAGAGCCTTTTTGAAGGTGTTTGTTATATGGGAATGAGGACAAAGAATAGGATTTATAAGACAGTATACAAAAATCATGTCCAGTAGTTAATCACACTTGACCTTTATGGAAATTTTCCAGAGTGCCAGATAGTCTTGTGATACACATATTAGCTAATTTAATCCTTACAATAAACCTGTGAATGAGATCACAATCCCCATTTTACAGATCAGGAAACTCAGGAAAGGGAATCAGAGGTAAGCAGCTTGCCCAAGTTGATGGGATAATAAGTGTTTAATCTGAGATAGAATCCAGGAAGTCTGACTCCATGGCCTGTATTCCTAACCATTACTCTTCTCTGCCTCCTCACCCTGATTAAACTCATGTGATCTCACACTCTGTGTTACATACTTGCAGGCCAGCTAGATGCTCTGAGGTCTGGAGTTGGACAGCGGATGCTGCACCCATCCCTGGCCTCCAGATTTTCACTCTCATCAGCAGCTGACCCCAGTAAAATGCTGATAGTATTCTGAGGGCCATTTTCAGCATCTTTGAGCAGCTCAGCTTTTCTCTTAACTGTGAAAGCTGACTAGGGCGTCACTGTTCTTTTTGGCCACTGCATTTAAAATGGTTGTTGAACAAGTTTACAGCTGACCACAAAGTGGAAATGGGAGCTTCAGAGCAATCTTGAGGCAGTAGGTTGTAGTAAATGCTCTAAGACACCCAAGTGTTAAGCTGCCCTGGACTAACCTCTTGAGAGAATGAACACAAGACCACAATTGTGCCAGTGTGGGAACAAAGTGTGGGAACAAAGTGTGAGTCGCTCAGTCGTGTCCGACTCTTTGCGACCTCATCGACTGTAGCCTGCCAGGCTCCTCTCTCCATGGAATTCTCCAGGCAAGAATACTGGAGTGGGTTGCCAGTCCCTTCTCCAGGGAATCTTCCCAATCCACGGATCAAACCCGAATCTCCTGCGTTACAGGCAGATTCTTTACACAAAGTAGGCACAAATGTCAACAATCCTGATCGTCCTGAGCTTCTTGACTAGGTTTAAATGCTTAAGGAAAATTGCCCTGTGACTAAAGCAGTTCCACCCTGGGTTTTGACAGCTGCTTGGTATGGTGAGTCCAGCTGAGAACTGTATGTTTGTGGGCAGACTGGTAGAAATCTGCAGGGAATTAGGCACACGGGTTTCTTGTGGTTCAATGTGACCCTCATATTCCAGATTTAGATACATTATCTTGTTATCTGATCAGCACCTCTGTTCCAGAGGGAGACAGGAAATAAGACTGTCAGTATTTTCCAAGTAATTAAAATTTAAAAGTTTGCGAATTTTTCATTTAAAAAGCATTTTAAAGTCTGAGACACTAAATTTGAGAATCAGGCTGGAATTTTTGAATTCTAGGACTGCCACTTTGAGCAAGTGTAGTTTGTTCGAATATCACTTCCCTTGATAGGGATAGCAAGATGTTTTTAATAGGCTTATTATGGAGAATTTAACAAAAATATTTAAAGCTTCTAGCATAGTATCAGGTACATGGTAAGAGCTTAGTTAATGTTAATTCTCTGATTAAAGACTGGGGCCAATAAACTTTTTCTACAAACATGAAAATGGTAAATATTTCATGTTTACTTTGCATGGCCACGTAGTCCGTCACAGATACTTAACTCTGCCATTGCAGCACTAGAACAGTTACAGATAATGCATAACGTGAGTGTGACTGGGCTCCAGTAGAACTTTAGTCTCAAAAAGAGGTAACAGACCATATTTGGCCTAAGGGCCATAGTCGCCAAACCCTGGTCTAAAGAATTTCACAATGTGGTTAATATGAGTATTTTTTTAAAAAATATTTTAATTAATTAATTTATTTATTTGGCTGTGCTAGGTCTTAGTTGAGGCATGCAGAATCTTTGTTTGAGGCATGTAAGACTGCCAGTTGAGGCATGTAGGATCCAGTTCCCTGACCAGGGAGCAAACCCAGGACCCCTGCATTGGGAGCATGGAGTCTTAACCACTGGACCATGAGGGAAGTACCTAATATGAGTATTTTATTTTGCTGATTATCCAAAGCTTCTTTTAGCAAAGTCCCACCCTGCTGTTTTGTGAATTTAATCGTGTCTCAAGTCAAATCATTTCTTTCCACAAATGCAAGGGTATAATATCTTATTATAAATGGAAATGCCAATTCCTTAGATACTCTCACTAAAGTTCATTTAAATAGTATTCTGTATATACAGCTTTTGAAATTATTATCTTGTTTCACTGATACATCTTTTCTTCAGTAGAGGCAGTTTTTTTGTTTTGCTTATGTATTACCCAAGTAATTTAGACATCACAGGAATGGACTCAACATTGTGACTTCCGTGGTCTCCTCCAGGCTTAAGGTTACTCTTGTAATGCAGTAATTTGCTCCTTGACACTTGTGCATTTCTGCCATTCTTGCCTCCCCCTGCGTTTTTCTCTCAGGCCTGGTGGTGGTGGTTTAGTCACTAAGTTGTGTCCGACTCGACTCTTGCAACCCCATGGACTGTAGCCTGCCAGGCTCCTCTGTTCATGGGATTCTCCAGGCAAGAGAACTCAGGCCTGGTGGAGCTTAACTTTCCTTGATAAGGCAACAAATGATAGGAGATTTTCTACATTTTTTTTTTTGGCCCTCAAGGTCACCCAGTCCTACTCTTGTCCAGTTTAAGTAGAGTGATTAGCATTTTCCCAGTATAAGTTACATAGCCATACGTAAAACTCGAAAAATCATTCTTCCCATAGCAGACTTTCCTACCTTTTACATTTGCCAGGTTAGGGCTAAAAACAAAGATGCAGCTGGAGTTTTCACTCCCAGTGTGGTCCATTCATTTGCATAAATAATTGAGAGTTATTAACTGCTATGTCGTGGTAAGAAATTTTCACTTGCATGAAAATGAAGTCAACATTGAAGTTGACCTTGTTTTCTAAGGGAATCAAAAAATGTGATAAGTTCCTTGAAGGAGGGGGACTGATTATGTTTTTCCGTCTCTTTATAATCTTCGAAGCATTTGACATAGTTGACTATAAGGTAGATAACAAATAACTTGTTGAAATAGTATTTGTAGGACACTGGAAACCAATTAAACCATAGTCATTTTGAGATAAGAGAATCATTCTTGTTTATATGTCAACTTCTTTGTGCTGTAACATGTAAGGTACTAAAGGTTATCTTTCTAGCAATGTTGTCATCCATGTGAAAATTAGAAGTTAATTGTTTGTTTTGCTTCATATGCTTTTATTTTTTATGACATGCCGACCCATACTGATTGAACACCTCTTTTCTCAGATGGAGGCCAAAGTAAAGGGGACACTAAGTTACCACGGAAATCTCAGTGACTTCCCAGCAAGCAAAGGAGACGACACACTTGGCTGGCTGCTGGAACCTACCTGATGGGAAAGTACTCGTGTGGTCATAGGGCTGCTGTTCTGTCGATGTTTACATTCTCTCGTCCCAAGCACTGTGGTGAGGAGGAGAAAGAAAAGAAAACATTACTTGAGTAAAGCCAGGTGCAGGAGGAAGAAATGCTTTTGTGCAAAGTTAAGTGTGACCTTTGGTCTCTTCTAAAGAAAGACAAAGTTACCATATTAACTGACTTGAAAGAGACTCAGTTGTCAAACCCACAGAAATACAAATTTGATTTTTCCCTGGGCAGGAAGAAGGAAATTGAGGATTTGGGTAAACTCCATCCATCCTGGGGGTTGGATCTGAACACTTGTAGACATAGTTGCATAATAAAAGGCAGTATACCCCAAATTAGGCCAGTTTGTCAGGAGTAGTGGTCATGTCTGAGTGGACTATGCAACAAATTTTCCACAAAAAAAATTTAATGGCCCTATGTCTGATGCAGACAGTAGCTGAGTATAAATTATGTACCCTCAAAAATCCTGAACAAACTTGAATCTTCTCCAGTGTGTAGCAACTCCTGTGTAAATCAGTGGACTAAAGATGCTTCAGGAAAGTTATTTTAGCACAGTGATATATATTACATTTTTTTAAGTCAAAAAATTGAGGCTGTTGCTCATAACAGATGAAACTTAGATGTCCCCTTTTTGTAAAAGGGTCAATTACATCTTCCATTCAGAAGCAGGTACTTAACTCTCTTCTTCAGGTGATTTGTGCATCTGGTGTTGACTGGTTAATTCTTATTTCCATTCTTGATGTTAAAATGTGACTTGTGTTCACATTTTCCTCTTGAGAAATGGGGATCTTTGTTGTAGGACTGCAGCTTTGGTCCACTTAGCCTTTGCAGGCCTGCCAGTATGAATTGTCAATTTCCCCCAACATCACTTTAGTTCACAACCTCTCTTTCTGTTTTTTTTGCTAGTGGTATTTTAGGTGATTATTAACTATTGATATAAACAGGTATAAGTGTGTATTGGAGTGCTTCTTCATTGGTCATTCAAACGGCATATGTGTATTTGGGGGGAATTTTGAAGATGGTATTTTAAAGGGAGGAATTAAATTAGGATCATTGTGTACAGGGGATTATTTTTATAACTGTGTATTTTTACTCCCTATATCCACTATAGTGAAACTGATTTGGAGCATTTGAAATGTTAAAGTTTTACTAATACTTAGAGTATTGATATATGAGTAAACCTGCAGATAATAAGACTCCGTTACTAGAGCTTCCTCATGCAAATTGCATGTTCAACAAAGGATGTTAAGGGAGAAATTTATAGTGTTTGGATACATTTTGTTGACTTTTTTCACCACATCATTGTTCTAGTCTTTTTCTTCCTGTTTAGGCTTCTGAATGTTTTCCAACTGTTCACAAGTATGGTGTAAGCTTGGTCCATTAATAATGCCAGACACCTAAAAAAATTGCACCAGATTGGTAGTAGCAAGATTTCTTAAATATGTTTTCATTACAAGTCACGCAATACCATTAATATTTATCCAGATAAGGGTATTAATCAGGCCCTTTTTTCCTTTCAAAAGTAAAAGTTCCAGATAGGCTTTAGGACTGTGAATAAATTAACACAGAATACTTTAGATCTGTAAGCCCATATTTTGACTTCAGAGTCACATTGGCTTACTTTACAGCGGGAAAAAAAAAAGTTAATAACTGAAAACTTTAGTTCCAAGGACTTGTTACAATAAGGGGAAAGGGTTATTTCAAAGGAATCATTGATATAATTACTTGCCTCTCAGAATTTAACAGTAAAGCAAATAAGAATGTTCTGTCAACCCTGGTAGATATTTGGAAGGATGCTGGGATGTTGCAGATATGTTTGACTTGAATGGAGAATGTTTGATTAAAGTTTGTTCGGTTTTTTTAACCTAGGGAAGCTTACCCAGTTCTTGAGTTTTTCCATTGTAGCATACCTCTTGCTTTTATCTAATTTAGAGGGAAAAAAGTCAGCTAATCTTCAAGAATTTTCCTTTGAGAAGCCACCTTCATTTTACTTCCCCGAACAAGGAGAGAACACAATGCAGATTCATCTCTCTTCTGGTGGAGAGTGGTGCATGTGTTCATCTGTGTGTGTACTTTTGTACACATATATTTGTTGATAGATGAGTTCAGTGTTAGTTTAAGGTGAGGAATGACAACTTTAATTTGTTAAACCCATCAACTCTGAAATCACACTGTCAGGCGAGTGTATGCTCCTTGGTTCTTTGTCTCGTCACAACAAAGATTTGGAGTGACGACACCATCCGAAGACCCCCCCCCCCCCCCCCCCCCCCCCCCCCCCCGCCCCCCGCCATGATTCTGTCTTCATTCGAGAAGAGTGGGATTATCAGTTCCTCCCCCATATCGTTTTATAAACACCTGAGGGCCCTGGGCTCTGAGGCCTCCTCTGTGAAGATTTTATTCTGTTCTCTTCAATCCTGATTCTGTGAGAACTGCTGCCTCACCCCCACCACATTTTCACTAGCTTCATCCATTTCAATCAAGACTGCCCTTTTATGTTGTACAAATGAAATAAACATCCTTATATTTCTTAAAAAGTATGATCAAAGAGTTACTGCATGTAAATACCTAATTCTTTTCTAGGTCATAACATTGAAAATGGTGTCCATGCTGTACAGACACCTATTTTTACAGCTTTTCTTACTAAAAACATACATACAAATCAGTTATTTTTTAGCACAGAGGCTTGTGACTCATATTCTATTTTTGCACTTGAAAATCAAATTATGTTATTTTTTAAAAGTGGAGAGTAATTGGAAAGGCTATAGAGCAGTGTGTCTTTTCTGAAGAGCATTAGCAACATCCCATTGTAAAGGTAATCAGCACACAGTTACATCCCATGCCGTGGGATTCTTGATTCAGGAAAAGTAAGCTGTTTTCAACGGTCTTGTATTTTAAATTGCCTTCGCTGACGTATAAGCTGTTACTGTACATACAAGTTAATCCTCAGTATTCACAAGCAATAATGAATGATCAGCAGAGCTGTCTCCAGAGATAGCAGTGCTGAGCCTCGGCTGGAGACTGAGAGCAAAGTGTCAAGCTCATTCAGAGCCTCCACAATCGATGTAAGCAATAATTTCATTACCAGTCGGTTATAATTCTTTTCTCATCTGCTTCTGAGATCAGAGGGTAAAGGAAATCATGATTCTAAAACCAACTGAAGAGATTAAGTATTGGGGGAAGAAGTGAAGTTCATCTGAGGTCCCCAAGTCTTGATTTTGAGGGACTCAGAGCATTGTGTCAGCATATTCCTTCATGCCTGCCACCCCTTTGATGGATGTTGTTAGCCCAAATTTCTTTCTTTCTTTTTTTTTTTTTAATACCATAGAAGCTCAATAGGGTTTATCATATCACCCAGCTAGAAGGAAGAACCGGGCACACACCTGTTTGAATGCTGTGGGTTTGACACCTGTATGAAAACAACTTCTACAAAAAGATTTTTAACCAAGGATTTTTTTTTTCCCCTAAAGCAGATTTAAATTGTTTACTACCCAGGTTTGGAAAGGGCAGACACCTCTAATCTTTCTCCTCTCGTTGCCCTCTACCACACCCCCTTTCCACCTCTACTTGGTTCAAGACATTTTCTGAAATGGAATTCTACTGTTATTCAAACTACCATTGATTACGCGAATACTGTGTCCCTTGGGATCATCTCTTAGAACTCCAATTAATCTATCAGATTTGCTGCTACATTTGTAAAATGAACTTTGCCTGTAATGTTCAACTTCAATTTACAGTTCTTTATTTCTGGGAGGCTTTGTCATATACTTTGACCCATGTATAGAACTAGGATACTTTATTTTAAGGGTGTACCATAAAAGCACACTGGTCCTTGTATGCTTTTCATCATTTAGGTCTTGAATTTTTGTTTGCTCTTTTTGTTGGTTGATGTTTATTTTGTCCTGTTTTAAATTAGAAGAGTGAGAGAAATCTACAATCAGGCCAAACTTGAGAACTTGCCCTGTGCTTCAGCACTGTAGTTTCTGCTGACCTTATGTTCTCAGAAGGGCACTTTTACTTGCTGTTATGCATGTATGGTTGTTTTTGTCTGTCTGTTGTTTTGGTTTTTGCTTTTAGGGGGCTTTTGTTTTTGTAATAATGATGCAGAAGAAAAATGCAGTAGTAGGTAAATGATTAGAAACATGTTAGACAGTTTTATTTTATAAAATTTAAGAGGAAGGGTTTAACTCTGTAAATCATTTCTTAGCTCTGGTAAAATGGCTTATATTATTCCTCTAAAGCATATTCAATTCAGGCCTTTGTCTTTGTTAAGTGCCTTTTTTTCTTTCTTTTTTCCCCTCTTTTGAAACTGTTCTCAGATATCCTAAAGTACAGGCTAATAACGTCAGGGGATTCAGGAGGAAGAATCTCAGAGTTGCCAAGATCATGTCATGCTGTAATATTCTTTTTCTTTATATGTATATGGATATATGTGTAAGATACACACATACATGCATACATATATATGTGTGTATATTTGTATACATATGTAATATATATATATATAACTAGTAGCTGCTGTACCATTGCATCCTTTCCAAGCACTCCCCTGTTTTTTAATGTTTGCAAAATTTCTGCCTTGTTTATTCCATTGCCTTTAGTTGATTTGAATGGATAGATTGGGAAATTGTCTTCTCACAAGATACTGTCTTTGCCCTTTGAATATCTGTTTGTAGAAGTTAACAGGAACAACAGCTACGTATAAAATAAGTCAGTTATTATAACTAGAATAAATTTAGTGGACTCATTGGCTGTTCCTGGATGTAATCCACTGCTCTGTGCCCTTCAGACTTGGCATGTGTAATACTAGAGAAAGCATTGGGATAACAAGAGTCTTTCCAGGTCAAGTTGATAAGGTACATGATGGCAGGCAAGACTAAAGACATGGGAGAGCTAGAGTTAGAACCATGGTATTGTTTCTGAGTTTTGAAGCAAGTTAGCAACTTTTTCCATGTTAAAAATGCATCATATACTCTTTTGGAAAATGGGTTTTGAAGAATTTATATAGCTGCATATCTGTCAAAAGGGTAATAAACTTAGAAGTAGGAGGACTTCAGATATGGAGGGAAACACTTATATAACCCATGGCATTCCTGAGAGAGCTTCAGTTTTCTCATTTGCCAAATAATTACATTTGGCCTAATATGATTTAATGGTTATTTTTGTTTCTCCCTTGAGCAAAATAACATAATATCAGTAATTAGTGTTCATCTGTTTCTTGTCGAAAACAGATGTGACATGTGAAGGGAGACTAAGTTGAACCAATCCTCAAAACCCAGTATAAATATGTCTAGTAAATGCCCCCTTTTAAATACATTTTAACTGAGGAGACTGGTGGCCAAAAAGGAGAAAGCAGAGGCTCCTGGCAGCGTTACTTGACAGCAAGACTGTTATCAGGTGGCCTCAGTTCAGTCATGTTATTCTTTGATTATTGTGTTTAGGGGGAATATCGTTCAACCTTTGTGCCTCAGATTACCCATTAGAAAATTGGGTATAATAATATTCACCTACCTCCCAGGGATATCAGAGACTTTTTCAAAAATATTTTGAGTTTTTCTAAAATGTCCTATATAATTAAAAAAAGTATTATCATCTTCCTGCAGAGGCTAAAAAAATGTTTCCCTATGATGGGTATAAAAAGCACCATATGATTTTTAGGTTTAAAAAAAATCACTGGAATTCTAATTTAGATACATATGTGTTATTTAAACATATTATATTTGTGGTTGGATACAATGCTTAGTTTCAGGTTAATAAGAGGGGAGGGGGTAAATAACACTAAGTTTCCTAATTATAAATAGTTTTTTTTTAAAGCTGTTTATGGTATTATTACATGTGTGATTTTTGCCAAGATTGTGGAGCTGAAGCTAGCTAAAGCGTGAATGATTGGTTACTGGAGTTGATTAATGATCCCAAATGTTTTATCTGCCTCACTTTGCCATGTTCTCAGCCTAATTTCCTTATATTACTTGTTTAGTGATGGATATAGCTAAGCTTTTAACTTTCTAAGAATGAATGGGGGTCTCCTTCTTATGGAGATTGTGTACTGTTCCTGTAACCATAGGTTTATCCAGCTTTGCACTGAAGGGGCAAGCACTACACACAGCCTGCTAGGTGTACTGTAGCCAGTCTACCTGTGTAATTTATGCTTCTTTAACGTGAAAGAGTGGGAGCCATCAACTGCTCAGGTTGTAGAAAAATGGGAGAGAGGAGGCAGGTTTCTCTTCCTAGCTGGGGCAGCTGTGGGAAGGGTGGGAGCACAAAGAAATATATTTTTCCCAGCTCCAGGGAGGAGAGGAAGGTCATCTTATCCTACCCTCCATCAAGTATATGAAGCAGTAATACATAGAATTTTCCTTTTATCATTTAAAACAATAACAACAGGAAACATTGGATGCTGCTTCTATGTTAGCGCTAGATGCTGAGCACCATTTGCGAGGAGATGTGTGTAGATTTTGTAGCACATATTCAGGGTCAGGAAAGAGAATGTCAGGGGATTAGGAACAAATGATCCAGTGTGAGTGAGTAGGGAGAAGGCCCCAGGCCCAAGTAGACAAAGCCTCTGAGTTAATTCCCAGAACTGGCTGAGGCCCATTTACTCTCTAGTGACAGGACGTTTTTCCTTAAAAGTCACTTTTTGGTTTTTTGTTGTGTTTTCCAGATAAAGCCTTAGTTAGTAGCCTCTAAATATCAACTATGCAGATAAACATACACGTTTTCCACATTCTTCCTTTTTTCCATTCTTTAAATAAGAGATGTTAATTAAGACTTCTACCCAAAGAAATAAGGCATAAGGGTTTTGTTGAATGTGTGTTTGTTCCTCTCGGGAAAATTAATGGAAACATAAAAATAGAGATATTTTTTTGTGTGTCCATCTGTCCTAAAATGTGAACTTTATATTCAGAAACTAAGTACAGATTCTGGTGCACACTGTGGTTGGAATCATGGCATGTCTTCGGGTTGTTAAGATAAAACCGTCCCAGTGTTCAGTTCTGAGAAAGCTTTAGATTGTCTGGCGCAGTGTTCAGGTTTGTGGAGCTAATAAACAGATGGTCATACTGTCATTACAAAGTGGTGTTAAATATTAATGTCAGATTCTCATTCTTTCTTTACTTTCTTTAGTTTTCATTCTTTTCTCTAATCTGAGCCCTCAAGTTAACCATTTCATCAGCCAGTGGCTACACTAGAATAAAAGTTGTTGAGAGTCTGGGGAGGAAAGTTAAACTTTCACCTCCTTTTCTCATCCATGT